AAGAGACCAGCGTTTTGACTAGTGATGAGGTCGCACAGTGACACGACTACTTTTCTTACATATAGTCCCTGTGGTCAAGGTGACACTGTTCAGACAAGGTTGGGCACCACCTGGAATTTGAACACACAAGATAAAATTGACTACTGTTAAATAAACTACTCACTAGCCGAGTCACTTCTTGTCCTGCCTCACACATTCTGATGTTGAACATATTCAGTCACCCTGCACATTGTAATAACAGACCCTGAAAATACCATCCACACGTTACTGCAGTTTGATCAAAGCCGTCATTAGTGAGAAACACCCAGAATCGTCCTCTAACCTTTGTCCATTTAATATCCAATAGTAATCTAATCATGTAAACGGTTTTTCCAGACAAACAGCGATACTAGAGCCATGACATTTTAATGTTGGCAGTGGTGAAATGTCAGCGTACAGATGAAAGAGGCCAGTTCTACCACCCTGTGGATTTGTTTGCAAGGGGGAGCGGACGGTGGATTTAGAACCGGTTCAAAGCTAATTAAACCACATGTAACCTGCTGGTCTTTTCTCCACACCTGGTGTACTTTACACTGTGCTATTATTTCATCATAGTGGTATTTTGTCCGGGGCTGGAGAAGTGACAGTAACTGTCCACAAGTTACCGTACGCTGCATGGAGATATCTATCAGAAATGCAGCAGAATCTTCAAGACTATAGGTTCATTATGATCAAGATGAGAGGCTTCGTAATTTATAGGACATCAAAAGGTAGATTCTGGGGGGGGGGGGGGTATGTGAAGCTGTGTGGTGCCCGAGGATAACAACTTCATCTCCTCTCCAAGGGATCCTGTTGTACATGTCTAGAACAGGGAGAGCAATGCTGAGCAGAACTCTGCGTACTTCCTCTGAAAAGTCAAACTCAAAAAAGAAGGACCAGCTGGGTCTGAGATACACTGAGCTGAATGGATGTATCAAAGTAGCAGAATATCTCAAGAAACTTGTTTTTTTACAAAATGCAGAGCAATATTTTGGAAAAACAATAAATTCCCTCGCATAGAAAGAAGGCACACAGGGCCTACTATAGCATAAGTAGATCTCTAAATAAACTCAGTCACAATTTGGAAGTGAATTGTGGGGTCCCTCTTCTGAACCAGTGGCAGTTATCTTGGGATATAACCCCAATTGAAAAAAATGTCACCAACAGTTCCATTAAGAAATCCTCAATGTCCACTTGAACAGCCCAAACCATGCATGCAAAGCAGAGCTGGGGGAATTCCCTCCGTCTCTCCACATGATTAAAAGAGCGATCAAGTTCCAGGTTCATTTGGCACAAGCTGAACCTGAGTAGTAACAGCCTCTACCCAGAGACACATCCTCTGAAAATCAAAGTAACCGAACATCTCAAAAACCAACTCCATCACCTCAAACACATCGAAGAAAAACAACTTACAGTCTCAGAGATGACAAATGTGTTAGCAAAACCATTGCCTTCACACATCGATGAGACACGGCGCAATCTAAGCATCGCGGTCAATATCTCCTGAGGGGAAAATCTGTCTCTTTAGCTGCTAAATGCTCCACTATATGTCCAGTAGCTAGTTGCTATTGCTAACTTTGTCTGACTGCCATATAGCACTGGACAGGTAGCGAACAGCGTTTATCAGAGCTTTTACCCTGAAAAACAGCTGCCTGCATCTGTAAACATCGCTGATGAGAGTGCACCAAAACAGTGAAGCTGTGAAAACAATGAAGTAAAGCAAGTACCTCTCAGAAGGTTTACCGCTACAGTAATAACAGTCACTTAATCCATCATTAGTAAAAAAAAAAAATATTGATAAAAGATTACAAATAACTACTATTTTTATTACCCTTCAGCGCCATAAGAGTGATTTAGTCGCATGCGAGCTGAAATGATTCAAAAGATGTATGGCTCTATGGCTGCAGCGCTTCGTCATTATTCCTCTGCACTCACAGCACATCCCCATTCGTGACCATCTCTAACACAAAGCACTCAAGTGGGTCAAGGTCGGTTATTTATATCATGAGCGGTTTCCAATTAAGTCAACATGTCAACCTGAAACCATCTGCAGCTAATAGGCTTCCAATTGATGAATATGAAAAGCGAGGACAGACGAGAGAGGAGACAGCTTGATATTAACGATAATGCAGGGGATCATCTATGGAGATGGCGGTTTTGATGCACGGATCAGATACGAGTGGATCAAAGTGTCAACATGGTTCACTTGGGAAAATGATCAGGCTGCGTTTACTTTTGATTACGATTCCTCCTCGGCGAATAAGAATATGCAGAGAGTTTAGATAATCGCTCATAGTTGAGTCAGTAACACTGTGTTTATGAGCTTGTGTGCTTCACAGGCCTGCTTCTCATTGCGTATAGTTATGTTGCTGTAAAAAACTGCTTCAACAAAGCTCACTTCCCTGCACTAAACCTCTGATGTCAGTCCACATTTACTCTCTGCGTCACATTGGCTCAGGGGGAAGTTATTCTTCAAAACTGTCTGTGAAGTTCTGACATTTTCATTTGGCTGTGAATGAGCTTTTTTTTTTTTTCCCCCCAACAAAAAGGTTATTCCATTTTCTGTCGCTGTCTGAATCTGCAATGCTGTATGGAAATGTATGCACAAAATCTGGCTTCACCGTTCCTGATCTTCAACCATCAATTGTAAAATTCACTGTAAACCCCAACCTCCAACTCCTCCGTGAGACTGCATGTTTTCTTAATCCGCTGACCGGTGAAAGTGACTGTACGGGATGATGAAGAGCTCCTCCGAGACCCTCCTCTGGCTGAACCAAAACCCCTTCAAGACGGTTTCATCCAAATAGAAGCACTCAATCTTAAGGACACGCTTGGTCAAAAATAATGCAGCACACAGACTGTAAGCGCGGGTCGCCTATGGTATAAGCTCTTAAGAAAAGGGTTTTACAGAACAGAGTTGTCAAAATGATGTGGGGCCGATACCTGAAATAATTTTATCTTCTCCAGACATCTCATATAAACCAGTAGAGCCCATTAGAATATTAGTAAAGTGTACAATTTGGCTTTGGAAAGACTAGAAGAAGACACCACCCTCCAGACTACGGAGTGTGGAGCTATGACTTTATAACTGCTGTTCAGGGTTGGGGGTTTAGCCAACGGCCGAGTGGATAGAGAATGACCCCGCTAACACCCATCCTGCCCACACCATTCCAAGAGTTTGCTCCCAAAACTGTTCATCAACGTGTCAACGATGGCAACAATATCTCTATGAAACTAACACCCTGTCACATCCTCCGGGAGAGATGGAAAGGTAGAGATTTTCTGCTGAGATCTCTCTGAAGCACCTGGACATATCGCTCCCTTTCAGCAGCACCATCAAGCCTCCGGGGCTCTCTGAGACGCCACCGGGCCGGTTGATTGATTCCACCCTCAGAGATGAATCTAGATATTGACTGTGCGGCGCAAGTGTTAGTGTGTGTCTGTGTGGTTGAGTCAGAGAGAGAGAGAGAGAGAGCGAGAGAGCGAGAGAGCGAGCGTCTGATAGAGACCGAGCCAGTGGGCCCGGTGATCTACAGCCTATTTAGATGCTCGTTTCCCAGAGTTCATAGCTCTCTTCCATCAACCCTCCAGGCAGGGAGCCAAGCCTTTGCTCTCTCCTCCACAGTGGTCTAATTCATCCACACTTAGGAAAGGTAAAAGGCTGCCTGTGTCTGCCTCAACAGTTCCAAAGGCAACTCATTTTTATCACTTCTCTCTGATCTGCAATCTCTGCATTCCTTATCTTTGATTTGATCGATTGTGTGCTTCTGCTCTCTTTGTTTTTATGCTGCATGGACTAAGTCGAAAAGGAATATTCCTGTCCACATGACAGGACACGTGCAGCCGCCAACATGCAGGCATAAATACACACAGACAACACACGTAGTGGCTCATGACTCCTACACACCATGTCAAACTCCCAATTGAAAGCAGATCAGCCTCTAATTTAGTCAGATTTAAATAACTTCCTCCAAAGCAGATGGTGACAAAATGAGGCTTTTCTTGGATATCACTCCACTCTGGGCAGGTAGGTGCAGCTGGAGCAGGTGTGCGTTACTGAAACAGGGCCAGGGGCTGGATGCACATTTGCAGTTTATTATGCCCAGCTGTGCATTTGTAGCTCCGACAGACCTTCACTGTAACGACACCCTGCTGATGACAAATCCGGATGGATTTTATGAATACGCTAGCATTACTGTGATGGAAATAGTGATGAGAAAACCCTGGCTCGTTGCGCAAATAAACGAATATTGACCCTAGACTTGCATTTAGACAAACTTCTTTTCCACATATGACATTATGTATCACCAAGAGGAAGGAATAAAATACTAATGCTTTGAATGAGCCATCAAAAGTATAATTTCATACCAACTACCCTAGGCCCGAGAAGCTGCAGCAGCGTCAACAACAATTTCATATTTCAATGTGCTTCACAATGAATTGAAGTCAAAATCAGACAACATAAAGCCCCGCTCAGACCATAAAGCGGCATCAATTTAAATATTATGTGATGACAGTAGGCTACAAGAATTTGATGAAGTAAATAACACCTTTAGGCTCCAGAATATATAGCATTAAATGTCAAAGTATACACACGTGGAACCACACCACAGAGCCCAAAAACAAAACAAACAGTAAACTACTTTTCTATATCTTTGCAGCCAGGGTGTACAACTGATCATCGATTCTAAATATAGGCCTATAACAACCACTCATCCGTTTTTATTAGTATGACCGACAACAAATAAAAAGAACTATGGACACCACGGCGGGTTCAACAAGCAATATCCGCCACATACATTTTAAAACTCTGAGACTTCTTATAGAATCAACAGATGAATAAAACATCCCCAAAGCAGACAACACGGACATGTGTAATGTTAAACAATATAAACTTAACAGCAGCTGCAGTTGCAAAACATGCATCAAAAGGAGATAACGTGCAGTTTTACATACAGCACAGCCACAACACCTTGACTCACCTGTCTGAACGAGATTGTAGGCCTCGTGCAACACAAAATCCTCCTCAATCTGCTCCAGATTCAACTTGTCTGCTGTTTGTACTCTCCGTCCGTCCCACTGCGGTCGTCAAAGTGTTCAGACATGTTGAGCTGGATGAAGCTCTGCAGTCAGATTTGGTAACACACGGTAGAAAGGCCTCACGCGCATCAATGCAGGTAAACGTTCCTCAATTGAACACTTGCGTGGAAGTCACCGCTGGAGGATCCAAATGGAGCATAATTTAGCATTTAACGTTTAGACATAAAATCAGAATGCACCTGTTCAAAAACACCTGTTTGATTTGCGTCATTTAGCGTGCTGGCCGGTGGCATTATTTTGTTCTGCTATGTTGAAGTCTTGACGTTCATCTGACTGGCTGGCACAAGCCAATCAGATGTCAGGCCTTTGCCATATTGGGATTGGTAATTTGGTGGCTGTGTGACTATTGTAGGACAGGAAATAAGTGTTCAAAATTGTCCAGACTAGTTTTTTACTGTATGGAGTTACAATAATGCTAACCACAACCACATTTTATCATGATATGATCATTAATTCTATTTTGTTGTTGTGCATTTATTGTACGAATCAATAACTGCTACCCCAGAAAACATAAGAGCAAAGAAAGGCAAATAGTAAAGACTACTTATATATTTATTTTAACATTCACATGTCTTGTCATCAGCCACAGGACTGGAAAAAAAGACTCATCAGAGGGCCTGAGTCTGGAATGTGTCTATTTGGCAATTTCTGAACGTATCCAGGAAGGATTCATAGGAAGGAAATGAAAAAGGTTTTCTGCTAAAACAGCATTCGGAGTTGTAGAGTTAGCTACTGATTTTTTTTTTTTTGTGAGACCAGTGGGGAGAACATTATAATAATCTATAGCCTGCTGGTGATGAAGGTGTACATTAGCCTTTCAGTGTTCTCTGGAGAGACAAATGACCTGACCTTGCTGTATTTCAAAGGTGAGATAAAGCAGTTTGGCCAAATCTCTAAAGCTCTTTGAAAACTATTTTGTGAATAGAAGGATGAGAAGATTCAAACTTCGCTGCTGGACAAAGTGTCATGAAGTAATGACCCATTTAGGAAGGAACAAATAATAGTAAAATAATAATAATTATAACAACAACAAATAATGTGAATGGATGAAATATGCTTCATCAGGTGAAACTAAAAGCAGCAGGTGGTGATGAAATGCTCTCCACCATGTAGACTTTTCTTTGGTGTAATTAGAGAGTTGTCGTACACCACATTAGAGGCTTCAGTGACAAATGACTTAACGAGCTACACAGGGAGTCCTAATTATTCTACAATTAGAAATGTAATTATGGGTTGCTGCAACGGCTGCTTGCTAGTTGGCTAGCAGTGTGAGGGAGCAGAGACAGAGTGAGCATCGCATTTAAATGCCAGCTAATCTTTCAAAGTGCACAGCCCTCCAATCACAGCCCCACTACTTCAATTGCGGACTGCACTGGACCAAGTTGAGGCAATGATGTTTGTAATCCATCATTTTAAAACTACTGCTTCAAATGTACCTATAGCAATTAACAACCAGTGTCCAGACTACTGCTCTGCTAACCTTAGAGTTAGAGTTAGAGTTGTCAAGTGTTGATCTAGTGTTGGCAGGTAATGGATAATAATTGGATTTCCGGTCAACCTTTCAGTGTTATGTCAGTGGTTGTTCGGTTTGCGAAGTCAATTGACAATCTGCATCATGTGATGATCAAACTGTGTTCAATGAGCTCACGGTCTGGAGAAAGTTAAGAACAAGAGGAAACCATATACGCTGTTATTACACTTCAATCCAATATAATCAGTCAGAGAACTGAGGTCAGAGTCTGGTGGTGTTAATCTGTTTTGCACAGTTTATTCATCCGATAAAAGCCAGAGGTTTTGGCTTGATTTACATAAAGACTGTATAACTCTGAAAGTGTCTTAAGTCATGCATCAACATTGTTCCTGTTTGTACTCAAACAGGAAATCTGTGTTGAGTTTAAAAGCATGTTAAGTTCAAATGTAATTTCCTCGAAAGAGGACCCGGGTAAATAATGTCGTATCATTAATTATGTTGAGCTCTATGTTTACCCGTAGACAATTATCACATTTCCCGTGTTCAGCTGACCTTCTGTGCACTAAGGACCAAGACTCAAGGTTATGTTATCTTTTAATTTACTGGAATTAATGAGTTGAAAGTGCATCAACTGAATTCGGTCTATATTTTACCCGTAATTAGAAACAAATTACATAGTTCTTTCTGAGAAACTACTTGGAATCACGACCCATGAAATAAAGCATTAGCTTCTTTTGCCTGGTGTGCACTGTGCCAGACACTGAATGAAACAGTATAAAGCTCGACTCAATGAACTATTCTCAGGTCCTGAATTGTTTTTGGACTAACAGTTTGTTTTCACACGTTTTTTAACTTTAGGGTAAAACATTTGCACAGATTTGCACAGACCATCCAAGGTCATGGGGATGATGTATGTCTGTGATGCCATATTGTTCCCAGAGGGAGTAAATTCATCTTTTCAGCAGGGGCAGCAGTGTAGGGTCAGGTGCACAACAGTAGCCTTGCAGTTGATATGGTTCATACTGCAGGGCAGACACAGGGTCAGATGGCCAAATAATACACACGATAGCACCATATAATAATAATAATGTTTCTGTACCCACACAACAGTCCTAATATGCAAACATATTGTTCCTCATTTCAGGGCCAGTGTGTGTTAGTGCCATGCTTGCAGGACCCATGCTCTACAGTACTATGTTGTAGTAACGAGGCACTCGTGCCAGTGATGACAGATGAGGGCTAAGAGGGCATAGTCCTACTAACACCACCCTGAGTTTTGGATGAGCTGCCAGCCTGACTCTGCCTTTCATCATTCCAAGGTTCAGCCGTTTTGTAAGCTTTGGGCTGCAAATCGGTGTCCAAACTATACACACCAGAGATCAGAGGCACTGTTCATGTAGGACATGCCTTGCAAAAAGAGATTTTTTTTTTTAACAGATTTATATATTTTCATGAGCATAAAACATCAATATCTTAAAGGAAGAACTTTTAGACACAGCTGAGATAAAGAATCGGGACTCCAACACATTTGGGATCAGACTTTTAATTGGACTTAAATTCACATAAATAACATTGGTTCATATATATTTTGTATATTATACAACTTTATATAATATATATTTCCCCCTATGATATACATTCCTCTCTGGCTAAAATTATCTCTCATATCTATGGAAACAGAAAGCCTTTGCATGAATGCAACGCTGCCTTTTTTTTTGTGCTGTTTATCAAGGTCCAAATGCCAAAAGGAGAGGAGCGCGTTTCTCATGAGTTGTAAAAAATAATTTCCCAAGTTACACAAACAGAAAAGCAAAACGGAGAATCTATTGCATTGTCTCTAGGGTTTTACACTGCACTACAAGGAGTGGGTAGCTATTGAAAATCAGTCACTGTATATTATATTTTACTGTATTGACTTGTGGCACAAGAAAAGAAAAAGCACTGCAAACTATCTGATAGGAATGGTAATGAACATTTTGTTTTTAAGTGTTCTTGTCATGGTTTCTGTTTTTTTTTTTTGCAAATAAAAAAAAAGAGAATATGCTTGACTCAAGATAAGAAACCCCATCGTGAAGATAAGGAAAGAGTTATGAACCTGCAGCAAGGTCACGTAATCATGCAGTGACCCAGCCAAGCGCCCTTGCACAGATGAGTTGAGTTTGTCAGTCTGGATCACAAATCAACACATGACCGTTTCGAGCCTGTGACCAACATTATTCCACAAGATGGGTGGATATCTGGAAGTCAGGTAACATTCACTAACCTCCCTGACAGAAAGAAAAGATAACCCTCTGCTCATATTGGAGCTCCTCCTGCATTGAACAGCGGATTGACTCTGTCGCCTGCAGCGCTCATGCAGTCAATATCTCCATCAAACAATAATGACTGACGCATCATCACACAGTTTCCCTAAAAGAACGCTGCAGGTTGAAAGATGCACTGAGAGGACACGACATGTCATTTTCACTATCTTTCCATAGCTGAGAGTTTTACATCACTGGATCTTTACTTAAACTCATCAACACGAAATCATGGTTACGAGCAAATGATTGAAATCAGTGTGTGTTTTCAAGGTCGAGGAAATCATAGCTTGTCAATACAAATGTTACATGACATTCAACATTAAGTATATACCTGGTGATGTGTAAAAAGAGTGACAATGGCTGTGAGTTGTCAAATCTAACAAGATGGTATGTAAAACATCTGCTTTTTTTTTTTTTTTTCAAACACAACCTTGTGTTTCACTGTCACAATCCCTCCTTACTGTTTCTGCTACACAATCTCGCAAGTCTGCATAAACTATGATACATATTTGATTGTCTGAATTGGAGCCACTACCTGAATATCAAACCAGAGAGAAACTGTCACCCACACTAGGCCTTCAAATCCAAATAAAAAGCAAACAATGGATCCAGCTACAGCTTCTATCTGAAAAGTTTTGGGTGACAACAAGAGGTCAAGTCAGCTGTAAGCAAATATGCAGGTGAGTCAGTCTCTGATGAAAAACAAGGTTGAACTTGAAAGAGCTACTTAAATTACCCAGTGAACCGGTGTGGGATCCTACAATGTTTCATGCATTTATCACGACAAGGCCAACCTAAACGAAACATGACATGTGTGTAGGTTGGTGTGTGTGTATGTACATGTGTGTGTGTGTGTGTGAGTGTTAACAAATCACAGAGGAAAACACAATCATGCCATGACATTGCGACAGACAGCAAGTTAAAGTGTTAACCCCCTCCTTCCCTGATTAGTTGAAAACAGAGTGACGCTTTTTTTTTATAAACAACTATGAGTTTATCATCATCTCACCATGATAGAAAGCGCATAAACATCATCATAATCATATCCCTTTTCTAAACAAGATAAAGTTACTATGCTATTGAAAAGAGTCGTGGGGAGGAAAAGTCATTGGTCGTGTTCAAAGCACAGTGAAAACACCGTTCTAACTTTACAGCAGGGGCTTCTCAATCTGTGCATCATTTGTTCTTTTCATATTCAATTGGGAATCCAAAATCAGAAACTGAAAAGAAAGATTTGAGTTGTTCGTTTGAATTTTCCAATTTTGGATTTCTATTGAATGTGAAAAGAACAATTGATACACAGATTCTTCTGGTATTTTACCACAGATTAGACAACAACAACAACAACAAAAAACAGTTTAAACTGTATTTTATTGCAATACTTTGTAATGGTTGGTATCCAGTATCCATCATCAATTATTCACCATCAGTTATTATTACGTCACCAGTCTGAAAAGGTGACGTAGATTTTTCTGAGTGAACACAACCAGCAGTAGTGCTAGTTGTCACTTTCCCTCCCCAGTACATCCCTGCCACTCATCTCAGTCTACTTTAATACTCGTAAAGGGGAAATAGTGTTAACTAAAAAGTGCGTCATTAATATGTTGAGATCATCATAAAAGTAAACCCTCTTTTTTTTGTCATAAATAACACTTTTGTTCCTCTAATATTCAAGAAACCTCTTATTATACAAGTTGAGTAGTCACATAATGCAAATCTACTCCCTGTGATCATATTAATATCTGGGAGCAATGTTAACACTTCCTGAAACTTGGAAGCTACAACCCACCAAAACAAAGAAGACTGCTGAATCAAATCTAGGAGGAAGATCAAGGAAAAGACTTTAGCAACGACCACTTACAGCTACTCAGGCTACAACACATGAAAAGTGATGTGATTGCATGTATTTGCATGTAATTGCATTAGCAAGATGGTAGCATGTAGTTCACTCAATAAACTGCAGTCAAAGAAGGCACATCAATATTCAAAGGAAGAAACGTTTTGGGACATACGCTTGCTTTCTTGTAGAGAGTTCGATAAGAAGAATGATACCACTCTCATGTCTGTGCGCTAAATATGAAGCTATACAGCCAGCAGGTGGTTAGCTTAGCTTAGAACAAAGGCAGGAAACACAGGAAAATGGCTAGCCTGGCTCTGTCCAAGCTAAGGTAAAAAAAATTAACTTATTTTGCAACTGCTTACAAGCTCACAAATCTTAATTGTTTAACTAGAAATGTAAAACGGAGACTGTGGTTTTACTGTCGAGTCTTTATGCTATGCTAAGCTAACTCGACTGCTGGCTCTAGCTTCATACTTCACATACAGATATGAGAGTAGTATCAGTCTCATCGAACTCGCTAAAAAAAAAAGTACATGTACTTTTAATAATTTCAAACTATTCCTTTAGCTGATAATTAGTTCAAAGTTTAATTTAACTTTTGTCAGATTTAGTTAACTCGACATTATGTAAACTTAATGTGACAGAAATATGGACGATTTAAAATAAAGTCAAAACGTCTGTAGTCTGAGGATTGTTCACTGTGTTTTGTATTTGTATCCCTGCCTCTGCATTGTGCTGTGTTTTTAATCTACCGCAGCAGATGTGATCTCACTGTTCACATGTTGTAACTTCAAACTCTAAATGGCTGATGAGAACATTCCCTCCTTGGTCTTCTGCCTGGGGTCAGATCAGGAGGAAGATAAATCAAAAAGGAAGACCTTAAATGGTCATAAAACCAGATGTCCAGCCCGTCCCTCAGTGACTCCAAAGCCTCAGATCAATTTTAGGTCTACTGACAGTTGTAGTCAGGAGGCCTTGCTCCTATTCACTGATGGATTTGCAAAGCATTGGATGGCTACAAACTAACAGGACTGACATGTTTCCAGACAGGTGTGTATATCTCCAAAACTTTCTGAATTCATGAGAAGGTTACTGGTCCGCTCTCAATGTTGTTCAGCTCTCAATCAACCTTTCAGTCACCGGGTCTGAGTGGACTCTGCTCGGCCATGAGTGAGCCTTTTTCAGTGGCAGGTCTTCATCCCGGTCAAGTATGGCGACTCTTGTCGGCACAGGCCCATCTGCTGCTGTTGCTGCTCTTCAAGATCTGTCGCCACGCCATCGACAAAGTCGGGGACGGGTAGCCCTGAGAGTATCATGACTGACTTGTTCCAGATCATGAAAGTGGGTACCACGGGCAGGAGGAATGAGACTTCAAAGGTGTGAATGTGCTGGGAGTTCATGGCATCATAGAAGGTCAGTGAGTTGTTGTCGTAGTCCAGCAGGACACCCAGTCGCCTCAGCTGCAGGCTTGCCTCCACCAGCATCTCCTTGCCATCGTGGCGCACCATAAAGTTGTTGTTGCAGCGCGAGAACACCCATGAGGACGAGTTCTTGCCACTCCATTCGTTTTTCGGGGCTGATTTGTAAGCCACGCCGATGGCATACCTGCAGGGAAGGAACATTTTGGAATGTATTAGTGATCTGAAACCAGAGTCGTCCTTAATGACTTTACTTGCACAGTCAAGCTACCTCATGCTGAGGACACACAAGATAGGCACGGGCCCTTTGGGTCTTTCCTGCATGAAAAGGTCTACTTCAGAGCCAATTAGTGAAAAGAATATAAATAGGATAAGTATATACACAGTGTGCAGTGTGTGTGTGTGTGTGTCTGTTTTGTGTGGGTTTGCATAACAGCCTAGATTTAAACTCCATAGAGAAAGATATTTTGGTTTATCGAGCCTCCTTGCAGGCTTATATAATGCAGTCTTCTGCGTGTGTGTTTCTTACCATGTGGACGCTCCCAGCAGCACCTCCCAGTAGTGGCCCCCGCTGTCAATGAAGACATTACCAGCTGCACCATAGGAGCCCGTGCCGCTGAAGCGCTCCGGGGTGTGGCTTTTCTTCAGCGAGCTCTCGTCCTTCTCCATGGTCAGACAGTCGTTGGACAGACGCAGCTTCTTGTGGGCCGTCTTTGGATCTAACTTGAAGGGTTGACCTGCAAATAAACGTCATGCTTTTAAGCGCCTATTACTGTGTGTCGGCAGCTAATGCTGCTAATGATAGTGATAACGACCATATAACAATCATCATTATCCCTAACATCATTAACATGATCATCTTTTTTTGGCAAACTGGCACCTCTATCTAAAATCACAGTTCACAAAGTTTCTCCCTGAAAGGCATAACAACTGTTACATGATGCAACTAACATGGAGACAAAAAATGCTAAAAGAAATATATCAAATTTTAATTAGTTACATAAAAGCAAGGCTAATAAAATTTTCTGCAATCCCTAAATGTAATCACTGTAGATCACGAGTAGTTTCCATTCTTTTTTTATCATGAGATATTTGCTTTTCTCCTAATAATATTTATGTTGCAGTACAGATAAGAGCAACTGGAAGAGAAGTCACTGTGCAAGTTTTAGATTTAAGAGCCATATAACGTCTTGTTGAACAGAAATATGTGTTGCCTACAGAGCTTCTTTGTTTATGTATCATAAACACAAGGCAAAACAAATCTGAAATATAACATTTCCCAATTTCAATTTATTTAAAAATATGTTTTGTGTTTGTCATCCCTGGATATTTTACAAGTGGAAAAAAGGCAAAAGATACCACAAGATCAGAATGTGAAAGCGCTGAGAGTGAGAATGAAAATTAGAGCAAGATTTTAAACTGAGAGCGGCAGCAAAAGACGAAAATAAATACAAAGCGGGGTGAGAAGCGCTCTCAGAGAACTCACAGAGAGAGACAGAAAAGGAAAGGAGAATGTTTGAAATACAAGGGCGAGAGTCGAAACTTCAAAGCCTCTCACAGCCTTTGGTGAAAACATTTTACAGCAGTGGAGGAAGCCACCCGGCATTCTCCTCAGTGCCTACTGCCTTCCATCACACAGACTTGGAAATTAGCTGAAGGAAATAGCCTTCACTTCCACTGCAGTAGGTAGCTGTTGAGGCTATTCAGTGGAAATGCTGCTATCCGGTTGCAACAATTCAATTTGCAATGACACCAGTAATTTGGGTGTAATGGGTGGAAAATTGAGAGGGTAAAAGTAGGTGAGTGGCAGAGAGAGAGAGAGAGTGGAGTTAGGGAGCGAGGAGAGAAGTTGAGGGGATAATATGAGGCCGAAGATTCAGCAGAGGAGCCCCTCTCTATGTCCATGTGTGTGTATGTGTAGGCTTCATGGAGGTCAGCCACGTCCCTTCCAGACCTGACATTTAACTCTGACACCTCTCATCTCATCTCTCAGCCTCCCTGAGCCTCCCACAGCTTAATGAGCGACACAATGAGGACCCCAACTCCTCCTCCCCTCCCTCTATCTGTCCTTTCCTTCATCTCTCCCCCCCCCCCCCCTCCCCATTCTCATCCTTTCTCCTCTCTCCCTCTCCAATAATCCGCGTGGTGAGTGTGCGTTACCGCGTGTGGATATGAGACGACGAGGCCAATGTGCTGCTGGCAGCCAATTACATTAATGCGCTCTCTTCTTTGAACTGCTTATCGCTGCCAGCGCAGCCATTTCCAAACACTGGGGCTCTGTCATGCCTTTCCAGGGGATGACTCTTGAGAGCCAGGCCGGGCCCGAGGTTGGGGAAGGGGAGACACACGTGACGGTAGAGGACAAGCAGACACACACACGCACACACACACACACACACAGACACACACACAGAGCATCAACTCCGGCCTACACACAAGCAAACATACAGTAAAGTAAGTGGCCGAGAGGAAATGTTTTGAACCAACGCCAGCAGGAAAAATGGAAAAAGTCATGCGTTGTAAGCTTTGGTTTAAATGGTGAATTCTTCGTATGTAAGAATAAATGTATGTATACACACAAAGCTGGTAGGATACTCAAAATAAAACTGAATTTGGAGGTTTGCACAGGCAAAATGGCAGATGCACCACTTAAAGAACTCTTGCACTTGTTTTCAATTGGCATCGTGATGGCAGACTGGCAAAGTGAACTGTCCGCAATATTCACACAACCCTCAATGCATCATTGTTTGCAACTGCTCAACACTGTCATGTGATGTTAAGTACAATTTTTACTTCCTGTTTTGAGGAACATTTCAACACCCAACATGAGTCACAAACTCATCAGTGGTGGAAAGTACATTTACTTAAGTACTGTACTTAAGTATTTACCTCTGTATTTGAATGTTATGCTGCTATATACTTATGAGAAGAGGAGAGAGAAGTATTATACATTTTGTTCTACTACAATTTATCTGACAGTTTTAGTGACTAATTACTTTCCTGATTATGATTTTACAAACGAAACATAAGATCAGTTTATAAAACGTGACACATTGTTCGAAAACAGCTGCATTTAAATGTTGCTTACATTTAAAGGCTTCAAGAATAATAAAACCTTTTTAAAATATACAAAATAATTCAACAGTATGAGAGAAATCATTCTGCATTACACTTGCACTTTTGACATTACAGTACTACTTGCTTCTAATACTTCTGTCCTTTTACATGAAGTCTGAATGCAGGACTTAAGTATACTCTACATTGAGTACTTCTTCCACGTCTTCACAGAAGATCACTCACGTTGCAGAGTTGCCATGAAATGAATCGTCCTGCAGTCACAGTGAGTATAGCGGTATTTGCTAGCAGCCCTCAGAGAACATGCCAAATTTGATTTCTACTGGAGAACTACACTGATGGCCTGAAGGCTGAAGAACGAGTGTTTGGTGCAATACATCAGCAAGAAGACCAAGTCCAAATAAGAAGAGCAGATGTAGCCTATATGTCTAAGAAAGTTCAGAATCGTTTTACATCAGCTGCCTGCAGAAACATACACATACACACACATAGCATTTAAAAAACAGAGATGACACTGTTTGTTTCTAAATCACACACAGATACACACTCCCGTGTTGTCAGATTGTATATTAGTGAAAACGAAGACAGGACAAGACAATGGCATAGTATATCTCACAGACCGGATTTGTAGGTCTGTGATCAGTCTGCTCCCGCTCTGTAATACGGTAGCAATTAGACATGTTTCCAACTGTCTGCAGAGGTAATAAGTGCTCTCAGTTTGAATGCCTTGAAGCTGTGCATTGTTACGAACTAGGAAGTAATAAATGGAAACTTGTACAACACAAAAGATAAAGTAAAAAAAAAGGGGGGAGAAACAAAAGGGGAGAGTGTTGGGGGAGCATTTATAAAAAGCAATTTCATTCCAACTTCATTACGACGGGTCCTTGTTGGAATACTTAAAGTGGGATAACATCTGGGTAATCGACTTTATTTCAATTCAGTCAATTTTTCACTGGTTCACATTTTCCACTGAGGGATATGTTGAGCTTTCTCAGCAAAGAGGGAGATAGAAAAAAAAAAAGATACATTTTTACTGCATAACTAAACAATTCCTCCAGTAGAAACAGCAGCATCGGGGACGTAGAGAGCTCTCTCTAGAGCTCCAACACAACCGTATGTCGTTACACATCTCTGTTGAACTTGCCAATCATTCCAAGTCATTAAAATGCATAGCTGCGTGCCACTTGGCCTCTAACTGACTGATCCATATGTAATGTGGTGTGTAATCCAACAGTGCTGTCACCTAAAACACGGATTAACACCGGCGACATCAAAGATGCATCAATCAAGTAACATGGCTATAGCACAGCAGGCGGTTGAGGTGCACATCAGGTATTCCTGGCACTGTGCATCACATCTTGTTTTCCCGCCTCTAACTGGGCAGTTTTGTTTGTCTCTTTCTACTCAATATCCACAAAAAAATGAAAATGTCTGTGTAGTAAGGAGCAAAGACAAACAGTAGTCACTGATCTTCTCCAACTTTCCCCCTTTAATGAACTCAGCAGAGTCTTCAGAGACCAGTGCCAGAAAATCATTTCAGTAAAGCTTCTGGGCCTGCTTGGAATTTCACTGCGATTAAGGAGGCGTTTTTTTGGAAGGAAAGTTTCTCTGATGGTTCGTTAGAGTAAAAGCATGTGTTAATAATTCAGTCTTTACTCCTGTATCAATGCACATGTATTTACTGTAGAATGATCGATTAATATCAAGGTTTGCTAGGTGAGGTGTGATCGGAGCTCAAATTCTTGGAGAAATTTTTTTTTTTTCAAAAACTGCCAGCCAACTGGCATTTTAACGCACTACCAATCTTCCCTCTGCACCTGCTGGCATTTTCACCTGTTCAGTGAATGAAGGACGACTCTTTGAGCTGGCGAACACATCACAGAACTCTTTGTTGTCAAGACCCAAAAGCCAAATGACAAAACACAGTGATATATTGCCGTTTAATGTAAAAACTCTGCTTAAACTAGCTTGTTTTGTTCCCTGCTGTCATAGCAAAACGTTGTTGTTGTTTTGCATCAATGACAGCCCTGGAAAAGTTACAGATTAAACAGACAGGTTAAAGGATGTTGATGAGTGCAGCATCAAGCCCATTGGTTCCTAAAGAAGTAAATCTATAAAAACGAGTGACAAATATTTACTGTAGTTTCATTTAAGTTTTGAAAACTTTCTTCAGTAGCTTTTGCAATGTTACTCTAACAGGAGTAAATCATGTATTTGCTGGGAGAATTCAATGTTGGTTTTTGTCTTCTCATGACCTTCGCAGGACCTTCCTGTCCTTGACAAGAACATATTTCAGTTTGTCTTTGCTTCTCCCCTCCTTTTCTTTTTTTGTAGATATTTTGTCAGCATGTTTTGTCTTCAATTGGCAGTTGACAGAAGACATTGACAGGAACAACGAGGGAGAGAGCAACGGGAGTGACAGGCAACAAAGCTCTCCCACCGGAATCAAACCAAGGACATTGTAATCACACAGTGTGCATGATATACCACTATGCCATGGGGACACCTGTCTCTCCTCTCCTGTTGTATCCTCCCCTTCACCCCGTTCTCTTCTTCTACTCCAAACACTCTCCTCTTCTCTCATCTCCTCTCCACCTCCAACTGTTTACTTTAGGGGCTGTGTGGTAGCTTGAGGCCTGTCGTCAGAGATGCATCCTGGGTA